GATCTCGAAGACAGCTCCCTTTGTCTGGCCTTTTCATTGAGCTCGATAGCCTTTAAACGCTTGTCGGACTCCACTCGGGCGCCTCTAATTTCCAACATGACTGTGCTCAGCCCGCCGTGTCCTTCTTCAACAGGAGGCGGCCGAAACGATCGAGATGGACCACTCTTGCCACGAATCGTAATGACCTTCTCGACATGTCCGAACACTTCTGCAAGTGCTTTGTGGTCTTCGTATAGATCCTCGATGAGCTCTTCCTGATGGCTCAAGAATTGCTGTTCCTCGACGATATTCTGAAGCTCTTGCTCCCACGTCTTCTTCCAGCCAGGTCGAATGGTCGCGATATGGTTTTTGAGATCTTCCAGCTCCTTGGTTGTCGAGTCGATCTTAGTTCGGAGACGTTTCATGACATCGAACCTTGGGTTGATGTGCCGCTTGAGAACATCGTCCTTCAAGTTTTCGACCGTGTCCTGTAAATCTTCGATTTCCGTGAGGACGTCTTGACTGCGTTTGTCGAGACGCGCTTTGCCTGAATCGATCGATGCGCGAGCACCACCGATCTTTGTATTTGCAACCTGACGAACGGAGGTGGCCTGTGCGCGAAGAGATGCTAGCGATTCTTTTGTGGAATTGGTGAAATCCACATAAATCTGCCTCATAACACCAAGATCGCGTCGAATGTTTTGCACTTCGTCAAATTGGGATTTGAGATCGGCGACGATTCGTGAGGCGGCAACACTTCCAGCATCCGATCCTCCAGTCATTTGAGGGACAAGAGGAGCCATCGAAGTTGCGCTGCGGGCTTGCGCTTTCCCGATCCGTTGTGCCACGGATTGGAACTGGCGTTCCGTAGGCCGCGAGCTGAGCACGACATTGTTGACCAGACCAGGAGACGGAGGGGCCATAGGTAGTGACATTCGTCTAGATGTTGCGACAGACTGTTTGAGGTCCTTGATCTCTTGTGAAAGATTAGAAATTTGACTATCGATATGTTGCTTAATCTGATCGAGTGCTAAAGAAGAGTGTCAAATAAAGCCATCGATTCTACAATAAAGACTTACGTTCAATATTGAGGGATAGTAAGCATTTGTCCTTGATTTCTGAAACGTCTTCTAGTTCGTACTGTACGCCACTGGCAGGATCACGAATATAGATTTCTGGGAAGTTCCCAGAGCCCGGATTATACAAAAACTTGTTCATAAAAAGCACTCTTAAAGCGGCGAAAGATGTTACTGGTTCCATCATGACCTTCTTCACTTGTCTTCCGACTTGGAAATAGACGGTCAATTCGCGGGGTGATTCTGGCCTCTCTGACTCTTTCGAGGCATCTAAAGTATTGGCGGTACCATTGATACTGGCATTGAGACTCTTGGCTGCATTCCCTTCAACGTCTGGTAAAGAGGGGACAGGAGGTTGAACTTCGTCCAGAGTCGGCATTCGTTGTCGCCTTTCCAAACTTCTCTTCCTCGCCAAATCTCTATTTGGTCTCGGCGTTGTGATGACACTATCCTCGGCGTTCTCATCTACCTCTGTCAAGGCGGTCAAATCCCCCGGAGTGAGCAGAGCACCCGCAGCCATAGATCGGCGTAGAGCATTGGATGCACTTGAAACAGATCCCAAACCAGTACCAGCCATCTTGGACATGGTATAGGTCGAGAATCGTTTAGAGGCACGCCTTTGGAGCGTCTCGCTCTGCTTTAGCGCTGCAAGAGACTGCTCGACAGCGGGTGTGCTTGGGCCTTCAGGCGTCTCTGGCCTTTGTTCAGCTACCGCATCAGGAGTGGTAGGAGATGTCACTTCGACGGAAAATGGGGCCAAGGGGGTGTCCTGGAGAGAGTAGCGCGGGACTTCTGGGGGGATGTGGGGTTGTGTAAATTCTGGTTTCGAAGAAGGAAGGGGTGCATCTACTTCTGGTGAAGGTGATGTAGGAAGTGTGCCCGGAATTTGGCGTGGAGTCCGTGGTGAAGTCTTGCGAGGCGTCTCGCTGTCCGTGTCTGGAGGTGCTGGGGTCGCCGACGCGGAGCGTGAAATAGGCATCCTCTTTTGTGAAGGTGACCTTGTGGAAGAGGGTCCAGCTTGGCCACTTTCGGTCTGAGGAATCGGGGGTACAGGGATATCACTCTGCCTCATCGAAGCACTGTTTGTTCGTCGTTCTGTATCGGACGCGGAGGGGCCTCGTCGAGGATCTCCAGATCGTCGTGATCTCATAGAGTCTCCACCAGAAGAGGACGGTATACGTGAGCTTCTCGAGCTTGTAGAACGGGCAGTCTGGCCCGTCGACTCCTCTCGTGGACCAGGGTCGTCAGATTGTGGCGCCTCGCCTCTAGATGTACGGCGTGAGCGAGTTCCAGATCCATCACGGAGTCTATATTCGTCTTGCTTTTTGCGAAGGCCCTCTAATAGCCGTGTGATGATCTTTCGAACTCCGGGCAGGTACAATGCCAAGTTTTCGGGGGATGCTTCCTCTGTGAGACATGTTTCTAAAATATCGCGTAGTTCGTCAGGAACTCTCCTGAGGTCCTTGCTAAAACCAAGTCCGTTGATGAGTACCAAGACCCCACAGCATAACTTGTTTCAGCATACGCACCCCATGTCAATACCAAACCCATCGAATGCAATCACAGCTGCATTAAAATCGTTTCCAAGACGAACGTACATGTCACTGATTTGAGCATCTGTGACTGCACCATTGCTCCAATCTGTCAGGCCTTCGAGCAGCTTCTTGATCGAGACCAGCAAGCGTGTGACATTGGACTCTACACCGGTGGTCTGGTTATGATTAGCTCGAGATATACCTTTACGACCCTTTTGGTGAACTTACGCGTCTGCTGTGACTCATGCGGGATGAGCCATTGGTATCCCGCCGACCCTCTGCGTCTGATCTCGAAGACAGCTCCCTTTGTCTGGCCTTTTCATTGAGCTCGATAGCCTTTAAACGCTTGTCGGACTCCACTCG